CTCTTGGACCCTGCGGAAGGAGAGACTGGATTTCTTGCCATGTTAATTCTGTGCTCTACCGTGCCCACTCCACAGTAACTCTGCCATGATAATTCTGTGCCCACTCCGCAGTAACTCTGCCATGATAATTCTGTGTTCTACTGTCCCCACTCCACAGTAACTCTGCCATGATAATTCTGTGCCCACTCCACAGTAACTCTGCCATGATAATTCTGTGCCCACTCCGCAGTAACTCTGCCATGTTGATTCTGTGTTCTACTGTCCCCACTCCGCAGTAACTCTGCCATGTTGATTCTGTGTTCTACTGTCCCCACTCCGCAGTAACTCTGCCATGTTGATTCTGTGCTCTACTGTGCCCACTCCACAGTAACTCTGCCATGATAATTCTGTGCCCACTCCGCAGTAACTCAGCCATGAAAATTCTACGTTCTGCTGTTGTCGGCGCCACAGTTACACTTCAGGTTTGTCTGCAGGGTGGTGAGTAACGTGTCTCTCTATGCAGAGGTTTACCTATGTTGCTCCAGATTGAAAACTATCAAGGGGCTTAAGTGATGAAATTCTTCTCCCTTTATTGCATGATAAAAATATATTATTAGACAATGAAGTAGTTTGACATAGCAGAAAGCAAGCCCAGCAGGTTTGGGTTTGTGTCCTTGTTGAAATAGGAGCGGCGGGGCTGCGTCCCCGGCATCCGGCTGCCCACATGGCTAGCTCTAGCTTATGCCCCGAAATAATTACACGGAAACTGTATTCTTTTAAACACCACTTGGCCCATTATATCTAGCCTTTTCTCGGCTAACTCTCGCACCTGGACTAGCCCATTTCTAATAATCTATGTAGCCCAAGAGCTGGCTTACCAGGAATGATCTTAACCTGCGTCTGCCTGGAATGGGAGAATCATGGCGACTCACTGACTCAGCTTCTTTCTCCCAGCCTTCTATTCTGTTTACTCCTCCCACCTATGTTTTAAGCTATGAGGGCCAAGCAGTTTCTTTATTGCTTAACCAATGAAATCAACAGATTGATATGACACTCCCACATCATGTCCTGGCTATATCATCAATTAGCCATGTGGAATGAAAAGAATTGCTGAACCTGGATGAGCTTCAGCTTTTAGCATGAGTTTCTAAAGTCACCTGGGTCCCAAAGAGATGTGTTGAGTGTCCAGCTTAGCGAAAGCTCTGACTGCAACCACTCTCTGTGAGTATTCTTTTGTTAACCCAGCTTGCATAGCTAATGAGTCATGCATGCTAATGGCCACTTTCCTGGAACTGGGGAACTATTTTAAGGGGACCAGGGAAAGTTTTAAAATGTATAACAATCTATACAGAATACTAGCTAGATGACCTAAAGCAAAGTGGACCCGTTAGCTTGGGATTTGAGGTGGCAAGGGAGTGGAGGGATATTTTCCAGTGATTTTGAACAACCCCAAGGTTCTCAGTCGCCACCTTTTTTCGCCAAATTGGCAGTTGCCGAATGGAGTCCGTGGCCTAGACATTCCTAACCACATCTTCCTTTCTGAGGAGAAGATGTGAATTTGGAACGTACCCTGCCTGCCTCCCTGTGAGGTCAGGTGATGCGAAGACCGTAACTTATGCTAGTGGCACAGAGTAAGTCCTTGAGATGTCCGTCCTAGTCAGTCACGTGCTTTCCTCAGTGAAGAGTTGCTCCACTTTACAGACTTCCCAGCAAGTCAAAATCCTAGTAACATCCCCACCCAGCCCTGAATCATGACTTCTCCACGGGGTGGCTTTCTCACTTCCCACCCAGACAACGCTGGCTATCCCTGGCAGCCCCCAAATTGTGATGTCATCTTTATATGGCTCAACTTTATGACAGTAGTCACAGGGAAAATAAAGAGAAATTTTTAAAAAATCCTTCATGTTTGGTTTAAATTTAATTTGGATGGTATTCTATTTTTTTCTTGTTTCTTTATTTCAAATATTTAAATGCATTTAAAATGGCTTTAAGACCTCAGTAGACAAGGATGCTTATTGTAGATTTTCAGCATGGGTTGAAGGCTGAGATTGGTGGTAGATCTGGAAGTTGCAAGGGCTACAATCTGAGGTGGAGGGAGCTACTAGAAGCACTGCACACATCTCATTTCCGCGCCTAAAGTGGGGCTGCAGAGTAAGGAGTAAATTCAGCTCTCCTAACCACCCACACCAGATCCATAGGCATTTGGTTATTGCTAGCAGAGCTGGCTCTGCTCCATTCTGGCCCTTGATGAAAGTGGTGGAAACTGGAGGCAGGAGCATGGCCTGGCTTCGCTCTCCAGTGGTGTCTTACCCTCTTAGGCTGTGACATTTACTATGGTCTCCCTATTGCCTGCCCCATGGACTCTGTCCTCTTTCCTACTAGAACTGCCAACAGTCAAGCCCCAGGGGATGCTGGGATTGGCTTCTGCAGAGGGCACCTTCAAAGTCTGAGTAGAGCCATTTTAAACGGTATCTCTGTGGCCAGGAAATAACATGTTCCGTGTGTTGGGGGAAAAACCCAAATCCCCCAAACAAACTGGCACAGACCCCACCACTCTTTGGCAGCAACAACAAAGCCTGAGTCTTGCCAGGAGAAACGGCTTTGAATGATAATACATAGCTAGTCAGAATGTAATCACAGGGGGCTCAAGCATCAAGGGGCACGGGAGCAAAGTGTCCACCCCCTCCTAAGAAACTGCCCAAGGTCATTATCTCCTTGTAGCTCCCAGGAACAGTCTCTCTAAACACGAGCGGCTCCCCATCTGACCTTCCACTTTGATGTCCTGCTTAAGAGCCTGATGCTGAGCTTCCCACTCTAGCGTAGTCCCTGCCTAGCTCCTCTCTGCAGCTGCGTTGTCTGCTGTGTCTACATGTTTCTCTCCTCTGTGTGTCTTACGTGGGGCTAGAGAAGAGAAACAGAGGGAACAAAGCACAAGAGACTGAGGTCTGGAGTTGCCTGACACAAACTTCTTTCCCTTGGGCTTTTACTCACACACACACACACACACACACACACACACACACACACACTGGGCAGCCCAAGATTGGAGAGATTCCGCACAAGGACATGAGGTATGTCACTTGGAATCATTACTTGTTGACAATTATTCAGCAAAAGGCTACATTGGTGTGTTGACTAGAGGTTGGGAGGGGCCTGGTCTGTAGCATTAACTGCCAATTCCTGTTCAAGATTCAATCTGCCACCACCAAAGAAAGAGTTGAAAAGAGAGGCTGACAGTTCTCACTCAAGAGCATCAGTGGTAGCACTTGGATGGGACCCCAGGTATATTAGAAGGTAACTGGACTGGTTACTAGGAAACGTACAGGTACATGGAATGGAGTGAGTATTTGTGAAGTTAGAAGAGAACTTTCACCAGCTGGGCATCTAGCAGTGGCTTTTCTTTGCAGCAGTAATGTGCCTGAATTCTTCATCCACTTGCGTTTCTGTTTTCCTTTGCTGGGTAAGTTTAAATTTCAGCCCCTGTTTAGGTTTAGTGAGGCCTCCCCAACCTTCGTTTCTATAAACTTGGGGTTAGAGCTCCCTGTGCAGGTGGACAGGAAGCAAAGAGAGTTAGGAAGATTCCAGAGGACCAAGACTACATCTTCCTCCCAAGTCCTTACCTCCCGGCTTTCTGCCACCACCACATTATGAGTGGCAGAAGAGCATGACTACCTGGGGCTGGAGAGGTGGCTCAGCGGTTAAGAGCACTGCCTGCCCTTCCAAAGGTCCTGACTTCAATTCCCAGCAACCACATGGTGGCTCACAACCATCTGTAATGGGGTCTGGTGCCCTCTTCTGGCCTGCAGGCGTACACACAGACAAAATATTGTATGCATAAAAGAAAAGAGTATGACTACCTGGGGGGACAGATCCACTAACGAAGTCGGGGACCCCAGGATCCAATCATGCCCAAGATCCCATCCACTGGTGGCCACATCTGTAACAGAGATGAGATTTCTGGAGACATTTCTAATGGAAACTGCAGCTAAGCTCAGCTTAAGAGGGAGAAAATAGTTTCCTGTCCCCTCCAGTTACCCCCAGTGACTTCTTACCTTAGACGCTTTTCATTATGGGTCCAAAACATGTGTGCGTGCAGTGAGTGTCTTCCATTGTTTTCAATTGCCCTCTATTTTGTTTTTTGAGAGAAGGTCTCTCACTGAACCTGGCGTGCACTGTCTCAGCCAGTCTGGCTAGACACAGGCCCCCAGGATACTCCTCGCTTTGCTTTCCATCCATCTAGTGTTTGGGGCGAGAGGGAATCTCAGCTCACTTTACCCCCTGAGACTTTTTCCTAGTCCTCTTACCAACTGTTAAAATCCATCCTTAGCCAAGTGTGTTTGTAACAACTGTGAGCCAGGCACTTGAGAGTCTGAGGCCATCCTGGGCTACAAAATCAGAACTTGTCTCAAGAAGCAAAAATCTTATTCGGTGTCATGGCCATCTGTAAGGTATACAGTGTGAATGAGTTCAAATGCTGGTTACCATTAGGGACTGCAACACCAGGAAACAGCTGCACATTTGATGGCAGCCTCTGCTCTTGTGGGATCTCAATCCCCCACTTCTCTGAGAGTATCAGCAAGAGTTGGTCACGGGTCTATAGGAACCTCTATTGGGAAACAACAGCCACATGTCCTGAAGGCTCTAAAATTACAAGACTATGTGAAAATTGTAAAGCAGCATCGAAAGAGGTTTCAGAAATCATTTTCAACTCCATCTAACTAAAAATTAGCGTGACTGAAATGTCAAAATTTTCCTTCTACGTTAGCTGTTCTCAGCCAGGGGCCATGTTCCCATTCTCAGAGTATTTGACAATGATTGGAGGCAGGCTGGTTGTCAAAAACTGAGTGGGAGATGCATTTAGTGTGTAGTGGGACCGTAAAGAAGTTGCACAGGACAATTCCCTCCCCCACTGAGAGATCAAGCCCCAAATGTCACAGTGCTAACAACACTGGGAAGCCCTGGTCTATGCACAAAAGAATTTCCCCAAACTCAAAACACTTCTTTCTTATTCCAGGAAGAAATCAAATTCACAAATTTTATTAGCTGTGCAATACCACTTTTCATTCATGTCTCATGGTTTAATTAAACTTTATAAACTACCAGTACAAATCAATACAATGTTTTCATTTTTTTTTTTTTTTTTTGCACACAGCTTGAGTGTTCTTGAAGCGTTTAAACAATGAATTTACTGTGAGCAAACAGAAGGCATGGAGACAGAACAGGTAATTAGCTCATGCATCCGGTGCTGGCTAATAAATAAATAATTTGCACATGGATGGAGAAACCACTCAATGGTAACCATATTTATTTTTTAAAAAAGATTTTGAAGACCTAAGAAAATGCAAGCTTCAGAAGCTTCTTGGCAATCAAGTACCATTGCTTATTTTAAAAATAAGTTGCTTCCACATAGTCAGGAAGCAGTGAAAATGTAGCAAAATCCTCCATCTCGCTGGAATGATGGACTGGTCTTTCACAAAATATATGTCTATTTTTTTCCTGCATTTTCTTCTTCTAGAAGCCAGAGACCAGGAAGAGCACCCTGCTTTGAAAAGCGGTTGTTTGGTTCATAACTTTGGTTTATTCAAATAGGTAAGGAAGTGGTCCCCTTTTCTCCAGAGGAGAAAGTATGTTCTCCGGCAAAGAGACCAAGGCCGTAGCGTCCCTTCTCAGTGAAGATAAAAGCGTCTTCCTTTCTCCAGTGTTTGCCCCTCTTCGGATAGTCTTGGACAGCTTCTGCATTTCTCTCTGCGGCCCACTCGCAGCCTTAGCTTTTGGCTCTCAGATGTCTGCAACTGGGGTTCTCCTCACACACCTCCATAGGTGCCTCTAGTCACACAGCTCCACAGACGCTCTCATCACACACCTCTCTCTATAGGTACCTCTCTTCACACACCCCTATAGACACCTCTCACCACACACCCCTATAGGCACCTCTCCTCTTCACACACCCCTATAGGCACCTCTCATCGCACACCTCTCTCTATAGGTACCTCTCTTCACACACCTGTATAGGAACTTCTCTTCACACACCTGTATAGGTGCCTCACATCACACACCTCCACGGGTGCCTCTCTCATCGCACACCCCTATAGGCACCTCTCATCGCACACCTGTATAGGAACTTCTCTTCACACACCCCTATAGGTACCTTCTTGCCAGATATGCTGGTGCATAACCATAATTTCAGCACTTGGGCTGCTAAGGGAGGAGGATCATTATTTCAAAGTTAGCTCAGGGTCTGTGTCAAGACTCTCTCCAATAAACAAACCAAGAAAATCAAGAAAAAATAAAAACAAATCTTAAAATCATAAAAGTGTATATACTACCATGTGCTCCTACTAAGTCTTGCAAATAGGTAATTAAATAAGAATAACACAAGGAAAAGTGCATTTTCGGAATAGTAACTAAATGATAACTGAAAAGAGAGGGGTTTTTTGGCTAATATTGGGGGGATGACAATATTGACAGTTTGTTCCCAGGTCCCTTTGATTTTGCTCGCTGTCCCCTGGAGGGCGCTCATGCTCGATCTCCATGCCTGCAGGTCCTCTGCTCCTTCTGAGATGTTGTTAGTCCTGGACACCAGAGCCCTCTGAATTAGCCATCCCTAAGATGAGAAGCCAGAACGCTTGCTTCTCTTCTAGTGAATTTTTTCAAAGCTTGTCTGAGGTTGTGAATATTTCAGTGTGCAGGGACAGAGAGATCATTCTGCTGTAAACACAGTCACTGTCACCACACTCCGAGCCCACAGAAACCGGAGACTCGCTCCTTTCATCTCTAAGTCACCAGCCAGATTCTTTGTCGCCCTGTGTGGAAGTCTATACCTTATTGCATCCAGTTTTTCAGCAACCGCCAAAGGCAAACAACTTAAATGTCTCCACTAATCTGTGCCTGGGAGATCATGTCTTTTTGCTGCCCGCTTTCTGCTTCTGTTTGCGAAGGTGAGCCTCTATTTCATGCCGGAAGACAAGCATCCCCAGCTGCCCGTGGGAAGCCTCATTCATGGCCTTGGACTGCATGCACATCTTGTACTGCTCGGGGGTCAGTTCATCCACACAGCGCTTCTCATGCCAAAGGTGGAATAGCCCCCGTACAGGTGTGCGGACCACGATGAGGTTGCTGTGGAGATACTTCCGGTACAGGTGCACATCTTCACCACCCCAGCCTTTGATGTCCAGGTCAAAGCCACCTGTAGGAACAGAACATGCCGTTGAATTGTGCTCCACCCACTCAGCCCTTAAGGACTTTTCCCCAAGAGGCATAGCAGGGGTGGGCAGGGAGACAGCGTGATTGGTGGAGTACTTGCTTTGTAAGCACGAGGAACTGAGTTTGGTCCCCCCAAATACAGCTTAAAACATTTTAAAACCCGAGAGTGGGCACTTGGCATAGTGGCACACACTTGCCTTTCAGCACCAGGGAGGCAGAGACAGGCAGATGACTAGAACTTGCTGGTCAGCCAGCCTAGCCTGCATGCCAAGTTCCAGGCCAATGGAAGACTATCCCACATTAAAGATGCAGATGTCACCTGAGGAATATTGAGGTTGTCCCCTGGCCTCCATGTCCCCATACAAACAACAAGGAAGTGTTCAGGGGAGGTGCCATTGGAAGCATCATCCATCCAAGTTCCCAGCGTCCATCTGGGTGAGACTTTGGATGGGCATAGCCAATGGGCATGATCTTCATGCCTGACCATGCAAACTTCTCCATGTAACAGTAGGCTGGGCAGGATTCTAAGAACTGGGCTGCTTGAAAGAGCCATCAGCGGTATTAATGAGTAGCTCTGGCCCAGGATTAAGAGCTTCAAGTGCATCCTTGCTTTAGAACTTGACATCTTACAAGGCAAACCCTGTATCTGCTGTCTGTCACTGCACCCTGTCCCAAACACTCTCTTGTGGCCGCTTTATCCCTGACCCTGTGCCCCAGCTACACCGCTCTGATAAGGGCCAGTTCAAACCAGAAAAACCCAGGACCCGAAACCCCAGCTAAGCAACCCTGAGTGGTGTTGGTTTTGAGTGACCATGGCCCTGCAGCAGGGGACAGCAACAGGGGGAGATCACCAGCCGGACAGTCAGAATTCAAATCCATTTTTCCTAGCAAAGTTGCTACTGAACGTGTCATGTTGTTTCGTTTTTCTGTATAGCCCAGGCCTTGAATTTTCATTTCTCCTGCCTTTGCCTTTTAAACACAGGGACCACAAGAATAGCCTAGATAATGATGCCTGCCTGAAGTTTGGGGTTTTTAAATCTTTCAATGAAGTAGATGTTATAACCAAACCAGAAAAAATTTAATAAGTGTTTGACTTGGTCAACTAAATTTTTTTATTGTTTTCAGCATCTCTTATTAAATACTATAGTCACAAGAAAGAAAATTGCAAATAAAGACATGGTTGCAAAGAATGGCATACAAGGGGACCGAGAAGCTCTGAGGCCACAGTAGTGGCTCCCCAAGGAAGAACACCCTCCCCAGCTCACTGTGGCCCCACCTCTTGAAAATATAGTGGCATGCGTCTTCAGACAAGCCAAAGAAATATGAACCCAAATGTGATAAACATGAGTCTTCACAGTGCAATATCATCTTCTCTGCACACAAAGCAAAGGAAACAATAGTTTCTGGAAATGGGAATTATTTTAAAAAATTGAATCTTATTTTTGAGAATCTGATAAGCATACGGTCTCCTAGGAATATTTCCCTAGAGATATAAAAGAATACCTGCCAGCTCTTCACAGTGGCTGTCACTCAAGACCTGGTACCCTGGTGTACCACTGCCTCCTCAGGGACACTAATCCAAGTTTCTTGACATTATTTTCATTTTAATCTGGTGATTTCTAGGGAAGGAAGCATACCTGGGCCTGCTCCTGATGCCTGTTTTCAAAGTGGAGGGCTTTAGGCTCAGGCCAGGGGAAGGGGTATGGAAGAGAGAGGGATGGGAGGGGTATGGAAGAGAAGGTGCCTACATGGTCTGGGGAGGAGTCTTTCCATCACTTCCCAGAGAGAAGGGCGCCCCCAGAGCCCAAGTTAAGGTTTGGGACCTGTTCTTTCTCGAGCTAGCTATGTATAATCCAGCCTGTTCCTCATCCTCAAGAGGCCCCTTTGTCTCTGTGCACTTTGATCTGTTCTGCTGAAACCCATTGGCCTTACCTTTCTGAGTCCTAGAACTCTGCAGTTCATATGTGTTTGTAAATATGTCCTTTTGGCCTTCTGTGTGTACACACATGTATGTGTGCCTGTGCACATCTTCATGTATGCCTCTGTAAATGTCTATGTAAATATATGCATGTCTATATACATAAATGAGTGTATATGTCTCTGCGTGGATATGTGTGCATGTATGTCTCTGTGTGTGCACGTGTGTTTGTGTTTAAATATGTGCCACTGAGTGCATATACACGTGTATATACACATCTGAATCTCCGTGTCCATGCTTATCTGTGTGTCTATATGATGTGTAGAGATGTTCACACATGTGTGTTCATGTTGACAGCAACTGCATACTCAGAGCTGAAAGTGATATATGGGACTTTAAGTAAGGGTCGAAGGAGTGAAACATAGGACTTATTTGCATGTGCTTTTCCCAGACTCCCGTCTTCTTCCACATTCCTGGAGGCTCACAATGTTCCTCTTAGTGGACTCCACAGCCGGGGCCCTCAGAGGAGGAGGCACCACAGAACTTGCTTGCATCCTGCCATGTAAAACCCTGAGTGGTGCTGGGTACATCTGAGAGGGGCTGACGTGTCCGACAGCATACCAAGCGCTGCCACCTGTGACCTGTGGAGCAGCGCTGTTTGGGAAAATGGCAGCATCTTTACCCAGGAAAACCTGCAGAATTTGCTCATGGCCTGCAGGACAGTGGCCTCCAGGTGGCGGTAGACTCGAAGTTTTATCTCACCTATGTTGATGAAGTCTGAGCGGTACTGACAAGTCATCCCAAACCCGAAGTCCCTCCAAAACCCCGTTTCCTTCTTGATGACCTGCAAGGAAAAAGACTGTCAGAGATAATGATAATCTAGAAAAAGGATCTTCACACGCGTGGTGAGCAGTGCTCAGTACAGAGCCAACACCCCCCCACACACACACACACTGCCAACAAATAGGCCAGATGGAGGTGTGTGTGTGTGTGTGTCTGTGTGTGTTTACCAAAAAGAATTACAATACACTAAGTCCAAACTGCGGCCTTGTGATTTTGGGCACCTCTGGCCAGGATGTCTCTAGGGCGTAGGCATCAAAGCTTGCACACACTCTCTCACACACAACCAAAAACAACCTCAAAGAGCAGGATTTTGAGCAGTGCCATGGAAAAGCCACCTACCCATCTGGCGCCTTGCCCCAGTGCTAAGGAGAAGTGAGGCCGGGCCCCTTACACAGGCCTGAGTACAGAGACAGTGAAGGGCTCAGGAAATTGAGAAGGGCCTCGGGAACAGCTTGGAATTCAGTACTCAACGACAGGGAAAGATAAGAAACACCCAAGAGATTCCTGCTGTTCCTGGATCACTGAACCTACACCCTCTGGCTGGCTGAGGAGAGGGTGCTTCTAAAGGATGAAGCTTCTCCAGAAAGCTCCTGCTGGAAGTGCCAGCCTGCAGGGTGACGGAGAGGCCATCCAAACAGTGACCAAAAAAACCCCATAAAGCCAGAGTAACACCGTAATGTTCCATTTCTTTTTTTGCGGAAAATTTCCAGCAAATTTGCTGAGGCAACAAAACTTAAAAAGTAACAGAAATTGGCATGTACACACATACATATACATGTGCTCACACATACATACACATAGGCACACACAGACACATGCAGCAACACACACACTTGTCAGAAGTAATTTGGGAAAGGGGCTTGAAATCTATTTTTTCCCCATCTTTGTAGTTCCTGTAGGAGCTTAGAAGACAGGAAGTCCCCTTCTTGGGAGATGGAAGCAGAATGTTTAGGAGGGTCCCTGTTGCTAAAGCTTGGATCTGTTTGCTGATTGTCTGTAACACCTCATGAGAAAGGAAGGACAGGCCTGTCCCATCTCCACTCCTGGCCACTCTTTTCACCTCAGGCAGGTCTCTTGATTTCAAGCCCGTTTTCCTTCATATATAATGAAGAGTTGAGCTAAATCATAACTAAAAAATCTTCCAGGTCATTTATTGCATCACTGTTACTCCAGGTTCTGGAACCTTCCCACAGTCAAAATTATATTTGATAAATGTCTTGCAAACAGTTAATGAATCTTAAAACATTCTTTTATGCCAGGATTCAATAGGGCAGAGGCTATGCCATGCTGTGCGCACAAGACCTTGCTCACAATGAGGCTCCTTAACCACTCAGGAAGTCCCACCCACACTTCTCCGAGGATTTATATGCAGTTCACGGTACGAGGGGAGATGAAGAAAGGGGAGCTTTACCAGTGGTGTAGCCACTTCCCAGTGAGGTGCCCTCATTCCTGTGAATAATACCCACCCAGGCCCCTGCAAGCAACCCTGGTGAAACCCAGGTCACCAAACCCAACAACAGATGTCAAAGCAGGAGGCGGAGAAGTTCGAAAGGACCGTGTGAGACAGGAGTGTCTGGAGAAGCCTCCACTGAATACATTTTCAATGGACTTTTTTCCTTCTTTGTCAATCAGGTAATTTTTTTCTGTTGCAGAAGGGCCTAATATCCCTTCTACTGTCCAGGGTTCTAGATATCCCACCGACATGGAGTAGAAGAAAAGCGGCAGTATCCAAACTTCAAATATTTGGTTGTACTCTCCATAGGGTCTAAAAGACACAGCTCCCTGTTGGAAGAACAATCAGGAGACCTGAGGAGGAAGCAAGAGTTTGTTCCCAGGAAGTTGCTGTCCCAAGATTCTGGGCTGGATCACGGTTGTGCTGAAGGACGTAAAGGAAGGCTGAATCTCCCTGGATACAGGTGACAGCAGCGCATGATTTGTGGCAGGGGCTGAGGTCTAGAAACAGTGACTACATTGGTTTTAAAGCTGCTACGCCGCAGAAAGGCACTCTGGGATAGGGCCACTGAAGTACCGTCTTTTGAGGAAGCTGCCATGGCTGTGTCACAGCATGTAATGTCAGGGAAAGATGGACTTCACTTCTGAGAGATTCTACCACCATGGCTGGGCCAAGCTGCCAAATGTTGCTCTCCATTGCCGCCTCTGGAAAAAAGCCTGGCAGGGATGAGGGCTCTTGAGTTCTCTCCTGATGGGATGGTATCCGGTTACTGCTGAAGACCCTACAAGAGCCACAGAGGTTTCCAGTCCTTCACCCAGGCCTGCCTGCCTCCTCCTCCTCTCTTCTCATCCCCTTTGAGCCTCTACATCAGTGTTTCTCTACCTTCCTAAAGTTGTAACCCTTCAACACTGTCCCTCCTGTTGTGGTGATCCCCAACTATAAAATTATTTTCATTACTACTGTAATTTTGCTGCATTTATGAATCATAATGTAAACACCTGTATATTCTGATGTTCTTCAGTGATGCTCATGAAAGGTTCATTTGACCCCCACAGGGGTCATGACCCACAGTTTGAGAATTGCTGCTCTCCACAGGCCTGTTTCCTAACTACCCAACTCCCCAGGCTCACAGGCCAGTTTCCTAACCACCCAACTCCCCAGGCTCACAGGCCAGTTTCCTAACCACCCAACTCCCCAGACTCACAGGCCAGTTTCCTAACCACCCAACTCCCCAGGCTCACAGGCATCTAAGGTGTTTCCTCAGTCCCTGCTTGGCCGCGTTTCCCTACTCGTCATTGCTCAGGATGTGATCCATGCCACCATGTGGTCCACAAACACACACAGGGTTCCATGCTTGCTGCAGTTGTCTTTACATTCTGAACTCTTTTGGCACAAGGGTCTGCATTCTGATTTTGTTCTGAGATATTCTATTGATAAAGCAGGCCCTGCCCATGCATACCAGATAACCTGAATTACAGCAATTTCTGGATCTGACTCTGCATTGTGTACTCTTTATTATCTGGGACCTGAAGGGTCAGTGATCACGCTGCAGAGGGTTCTGGGGGTGAAGGCTATGTGCCCTCTTTTTGAGACCTCTTCAGAGGGAGGGAGAATGATTTGCTCATTCTTCCTGTTGCAGTAGAGCTCAGGGCTAGAATCCCCATGAAGATCCTGGTTTAATTTCTTTAAGAAATAATGTGTTCTGGATCACAGGGCTCCCAGAATTTATTTAATAATAGATTCAAATATCATCTCCTCCCAGGTCTCTGCAATGTCTTATTTCCACATAAATCTTATTGGTTTGAGAATAAAGTATGACAGTCTCTTCTAAGGGGTTAAGGCTGGACCAGACCCACGAGCGCTCTCATTTCTGGAAACTAGAACGTTGGTCCTCTGGCAGCACACAGGTTCCTTCAGCTCATCACCCTCGGTCAAGCTTAGCTGCACAGTTTGGCACTCACATCTGTCCCTCTCCCACTCAGCAGCTGCAGGGATCTGAACTAGTGGACTTAGGTCTGCTGAGCCCAGGCTTCCATATGTGTGAATGAGATGTAGATCCCGCTTACCCTCGTTGGGAATGATGGGAGATTACATGGTCTCACTGGGGGACTCTCAAATGCCTTCTGATTAAACAATACCCGTCCGCAAGGGCACACTGCATGAATTATGACCGGCAGACAATATTGAAGACTGAAGCATAGGTCAGTGTTTAAAATGCTCAGTAATTCAAACCCCTAAATAAAAAGTCCTGCTAATTGAGGAGCTAAGAAATGGTCCTTGATAAAGTGACTGTTTCATGAGTAGGAAGTCCAGAGTTTGAAGTCCTAAAATTCACATAAAAAGCGAGTAGTGGAGTGTCCCTAACCCGGCTGTACATACTCCAGGCAGACTAGATAGGTCAATGAGTTACATATCAGGGGCTAGGTGAAGAAGAGAAACAAGGAGGAGAAGGAGAGAAGGAGGAGGGAGGGAGGGAGAGACAGACCCCGTCTCAAAAATTAAGATGAACAGAAGAAGCAGGGACCTATAGGGAACAGGGGTTGTTCGAGAGTGTAATGGGAAGGAAAACAGGACTGAACATATTGATACAATTACGAAGTATGTAAAAAATACATGTATTAAGGAGGCAGTGATTAAGGAAGACACTTGATTTCAGCCTCTTGGTTCACGTCAACTATTTGAGGCAGGCAAGGCAGAGCAGGGGTAAGCAAGAGAGGACGAGGACAGGGAGAAGCACACTCCACGTACACCGCTCCTTGTCACAAAGTAAGCAGGCTACATTGCCAGGTGGTACCGTACAGCAGACATCACGGTCTGCATCAAACACCGAGAGACTAAAATTCACAAGGTGGTGGCCTGGGTGGACGGCAGGCTGATGCTGGTGTCCTCTGAGATGGTGTCGTCTGCCAGGTGGTGGGATTAGCTGGCATTCTCTTTGCAGCCAGGTTAAGTTGGTTGATGGAGGACAATCAGTTGCAACAAAAAATCAGAGTCTACGGCCCTGTGCTCGAGACAGTTCATACTGATTGCCAGAGCTGCACACATCTCTTCCCAGCATTCCCTATGGTAACACACTGGTAAGCCCAATACAAGCCACAGGGGGACTGTTTACACCATGGATATTGGCAAACACCATCACCAGGGCTTTTTCTTCTTCTTCCCAAGAGTGGGCTGCTAAACAATTGCAAGCCTGCCACTGGCTATATGCCATAAACATCTTTTTGAATAAAAAAAAAAGTGGAATTAATTTGTTTATTCAAAACTAGTCTCTGGCAGAGAGTGAGGGAAGACAGGGTGTGGGGAGGGTCGGAATCTAAAGATAGGGGAAGTAGGATGCTTCTGCAGGAATCTAAGCAGGAACTGACAGGCTGAGCAGCAAGGTGGAATGTTTAAAATGAAGAACGTTGATTTAAATTACAGTCATTCCCTTCTCGGTTTGCTGCTTCTGCATTAAGGCACCAGCAAGTCTCATCTCACGGCTTAAATTTCAAAAATTAAATATTAGCACAAAACCCCACAGTGTCGCTTATTACTAATGATCTGTATGCAGAAGTTAAAAAAATAAGAAGGCATCCAAACATGCACAGAGATCCTTGCTTTCCTCTGCAGGCAAGCTGGAAATGGCAGGACTGATAGCGATGAAAACTCATCCTGGGCACAATGAGCAGGAGGCTGTGATTGCGGGGCTGCACGCGTGACCTTTACTACAGCCCATTCCGAACCCACATTCCCCACCTCACTGAAGTACCGGTGTGTCCCAGGGAAGGCTATGCAGGGTTTGTTAATACACACATGGTCTAGACGGAGTCAACATGCAATCTCGGGGGAAATCTCTCCTAATTTTCTTATCTCCAGCCATTACTTTTTGGTGTATAGTGTCTCGCCACCTACACACTCTCTCCACAGTGTATTAATTTTTATAGTTTGATGTGTGCCTCTGGCATTCTTGCCAGGCCATTTTCTTTATGCCTCTGATCTCTTGGGGATAACTGGAAGATCTAGTCCCGCTGCTCAAGAGGAGGGACACCCTGGCACAGGCTAAGTTCTGTCACTTAGGCACTTTCCGATCTTAATTTTGGGGTCTGAAGGGTGTGTGTATGCATGCATATGTGTGTGTGCGTGAGTGCATGCACATGTGCTGCTGTGCACCTGTGCTTGCACGTTTGTGTGTGGGTGCTCACCTGTGCAGTATAGAGGTCAGAGGGTTTTCTGTCGCTCTTCACATTATATTTGAGACAAGGTCTCCAATGAACCCGGAGCTGGCAGTTTGGCTCAGACCTTCTGGCTAGAGACTGTCCTACCTCTCCTGTTGGCTGGGATCTACCTGTTTCCATCACTCTCCCAGTGCTGGGGTTTCACCCATCTGGGTGGGGTTGAGACCTGAACTTGGCTTCTCACGCTTTCCCACAAACACTTTATCCAGCGATTCCTCTCCCTACTCCTGACTCTGCAGCCTTGGGCCATTCATTCAGCATCTATGAAGGGTGGATGAGGGGCCTCGGATCAATCATGCCTGAGGGTACGACCCCAGGACCAGGACCTGGAGCAGACGGCTGCAAGCAGTGAGTGATCAAGATAGTTTGTCTTGGGATTAGCTCTGTGGCTAAGAGGTCTTGCTGTCATTACAGAGGACCTGGACTTGATTCCCGGCACCTGTATCAGGTGTAACTCCAGCGCCAAGGGATCTTATACCCTCCCTGGACCTTACACACATAAATAAAACTAAAATGAAATAAATGACTTCTCTAATGAAGGATACAATCATGCATTTCCCTGGGGAGCCTTGAACTTGCTGCCTTTCACTGAGCTGGATAATTGTACACTGAACTCTGAGCAGCAGCTTCATGTACCGGAGGAGAAGTCAATGACGCTCTAAGAAGTAAATGTCAAAGGTGATTTGGGGCTTCCTGCTGTGGCCACACACTTCCAAGGCTCTGAGTTATTTCCACCTGGACTGCTTATTCTGTGAGTCTGGTAGACCCGCTTTCTACACTGTCTGTCTGTCTGCCTCCCATCCTGCCTGCTCTCAGGATGAACTGGAAAGGACAAAACCTTTAGATTATGAAATGAAAAGAAGTCCTTGCAAGCAAATAGGGCCTTTATGAATTTGAACTAGAAACATTAATCACTTCCAATGTCAAATGTAAAACAGAGCTTTATTTAAAATCAAGGGAATTTTTATTCTCATTGGTTGAAAGAAAAAAGCCCATTTTGTCTCATTTTCCTTTAACGTCCCATGAAAGGCTTACAACCCCTGGGATGGGAAGCCAGAGCCCAGGTCCTCACGGGAGACTCATCTCTTATGTTCAGAAAACTGGGTCTTTGGTTGTGAAACTGTCTGAAGCCCATAGAGGGGTGGACCATACCCAGCCACACACTACACCTGCAGTGCTAAAACCTGACAGCCAAAGAGGAGACTGTTTGTGCACTTTCTGGCTTGAGCCCACCAAAATCATATAAGGACAAGCACAAAACATGAGCCTCCTCTTTTCTGAAAGCACCCAAAGCTTCGGTGTTCTGGAGAAGAATCCCATTGGCTGTCAGAGGTTACCTGGGAGAGGACAAGGGCACAGGTCAAGTGTAGAGTGAACGGGTTTTCTTACTTCTGAAAGCCTATCACTGAGTCGGCTACCCAAACGAACGTTGCAGAACAATGTTCTCCCATGACCATGATATAGGGCACGAGGAGACCCTACACCCCCTTTCCATCTACATCTGCTTGTCTATGTCCCATTTCCTTCCTGTCCATAAGGATACTCAGTGCAAAAAGCATGGCATTGCCAGGCTTGCTAACAGGAGGCAGAGGTGTCCAACATAATCTCCCCGCTGGGAAGATCACCCTGAGTGGCTGAGAGGAGGGTCTGTCCTGTGCTCAGGTAGCCAACAGTACAGTACCCACCCCCACATACACTCCACGGTTTCAGTCACTGCTATCAGCTGAGGTCAGAGAATATGAAATGAATAGTTCCAGAAATGAGTAAATTATGTGCTATATCCTATATTATCATTAGTCACTGTTGTTCTGTCTCACTGCTAACTAATAACCCTATGTACGGTGCTTGGGATGATTCGTTATCTCATGTATCCAGTGAGGAGCTTGGAGTATCTCCACACGGGCAAAGGGACTATAACAGCAGCCTTGGAGGGGCAGGGGGTGCTCTCCTGGTTTGTCCCAGTTCCTCTTTCCATTCTGCTTCGTCTGTCTGTGATAACATGAGACTGAGCAGGCCCTGGGGGCTCGGCGGTTCCACGACCTATCACCGGTGCAGCCAAGATCTTGGCAGAGAAGTTCTTGCTGTTTCTTTGAAAGCGACATCTCTGGTGACACCATTGATGCCAACATCTGCCCCAATATGGGGATGTGTAGCAGTGGTGATGGGATGGGATGGGTGAAGGGCCAGGGGACAGGCCTGGTTCTTGTTCCCCACTGACTCAGGGTAACTGCCACCTGCTTCTGTCACCTGTTTTCCACCATCTTAGGCATTCCTGTTTCTAACGGGAACATCACCCTCACTTCTCCTACGGGATTTTGTAATGATAAAGAGAAAGCATGCTCTAGCCGTAATCCAATCATAGTAGTTCCGAAAACCATAGACGAAAGCTATGGAGGTGTGAAATTACCCTCTTATAAGGTACGGTTCCTATTTATTTTTCACTTTTAAATATTGCAAGGACTTTTAATCATCATGGCACTCGGAGCAAAGGCCAGAACATCTGCCAAACTTAAAAACCACTAAGGGGATTGGTCTGCGGATTCTGCTCACCGCTCCTCACGGTCAGGTGCCCCAGTAATGAGTGACATTAAACAGCGGCACACGGGCATCTGCGGGGTCGTTACTCACCAGCTGCTGCTCTAGGGGTGGGACTGCATCATGATGGCCGTAGATTACGCCAGGGTTATACTGACTGAAAAGAACCGGATAAAATACCTTCTTTCCTGCAAATCAGAAAGCAAACATCTGCTTAGGAGAAACTCGGTCCACTGCTGGGCTTGCTCATGTGTGTTCCACCATCAGAAATAGCCCAGGTGCTTCCACCCACTCTTTCTTGCTTCAGCCAGCTCTAGACCAGATCTTAGAGAGAGCACCAGCTAGACCAGTCAGCCTGATTTTCTGATCCATCTGTCCCAGGATGAGAACAACATGAAAGCTGCCAACAGGCCAGAGGCTGGGGTTGTGTTCCCCAAAGCGTTGAGTGTGGAGGAGGGTCCTGGTGTCCCTGTCCTGCATGCCCAAAGCCTTTAAATGTCAATTTCTAGTACAACCTTAAAGAGTGGCAGAGGAGGTCAGGAAGACTATGGGCAGCAGAGGGCTCAGAGCAGCTGCCCCTTATCGCTATGCATGGAATAATCGCCATATTTTAACAGTAAGTGAACATACCAGGACTCTTAGCTCTCTATCAACAGTGCCTAAGTCCACAGACATCATTTGTGTATTTGGGGCTTCTTTCAGCCCCAAATGGGGCTTGCTAAGAGCCCATAGCTATTTTTTCCCTTTGGATTTGGGTGGCTTTCCAGGTCTGTGTCCTCTGACTCACTGTCTCCAGTGGGTGCCCCACCCATCTGACCTCCCAGTGGGAGAAAGAAAGGGGTTATGTACAGGGGTACAGGACATAATTCCATAGTTCGTGTGCCTGACATCCCTGTTGCACAAAGCCTGAGGGTGAGCTGAACAAGATCACCTTCCTTGTCTTTGTGACTGAGGAAACGTGATGGCAGAGCAGCCTGTGTAGACAGTAACACCTGAGGGAAAGAGAGCCGAGTGCCCGAAAGAGGTAAGAAGGAGACAATGCCAACCTGGCTGTGTGTTCAGCCTGCACGTGTTGAGGAACTCAGAGGTGAAGTAGATGTCCACGTCACAGAAAAACAGCAGGACGTTGCTTCCCTTCCAGAAGCGGGCTCCGACATCCAGTCCCTTACCCCGGGAAAATTCTCCATTCAGCTGGATAAAGGTGAAGTTTCTGAAGTTGGCAGCTCTGGAAGATACAGAGAGCAAATGGTCAGGGGTCACCACTCATCACCACACTACCCGGGAGGACAAAATCCCCTGGAAAACACACGGCTGGAGCTGTCCCTCTCTGAATGTTCTGTAACTCTGAGGGTGGTGGGGCCACCCAGGCAAGGACAGAAGAGCCAAATTGAGTAGACCCCACTGAGGATCAAAGGACAGAGAACACCTAACAAACTTTTGTTGTTGTTTTGCTGTGTGGCAGGGTCTTGCTGTCCAGTCCAGACCTTGATTTTATGACCTTCTTACCTCAGCTGACATTACTGACATTAGAGGTATATGCCACCATGCCCAGTTCCACTGCACTTAATTTAAATTTTTTAATTATGTGTATATGTGTGTGTAGTTGCTAACAGAGGCCAGAAGTGGGTGTCTGATACCCTGGAGGTGGAGTTACAGGCAGTTGTGAGCCATGCAACATGCGTGCTGGGAACAAAACTAAACCAAAACATGGCTTTTCCACAAGAACAGTCTGTGTTCTTAACTACTGAGCTATCTCTCCTGGCCCCTAATGAACTTGCAATATGAATTTATGTCTTCCATTTCTCCAAATTCTTCTATATTGAGACTGCAATTGTTATCACTAATGCACACCCTTTGTGATGGGATTTGGAATTAGTTAAGTAGAAACACAACCCAAAGACATCTCCATGCTTTCTGGGCCACTAAAATAAACCTAGTGCATAAAGCTGAGACCCTGCGGAATATGGCTTCCCAGCATCTTATCTGTTTCAAGCCCAAAGTCAGGCAACATGTTCTTGATGTGTGTTACCCCAGACAGACTGAAACCTTCCTCCTTTTTTTCCCAGTAGAGGAAAAGCAGCATTGCGCGGTGTGAAAGAGGACCAGCGACCTTGCCTTTGGAAGGCAATGATGCACCAGCCCTGACTGCATTGCTGCTAGCTCTGTTAGCAGGACAAGCTCATTCTTTGGTTGCTTCTTAGCATAAAGGAAATAACAGTAGCATCATTAGTCTTTATACAAAGTGACTATATAAGTGGTGGCAAGGGGACGTGGCAACATAAGCACCAGCCCCTACCATCATCATCAGAGGTAAGGATTTCCAAGACCAGGCTGCCGAAGTCAAGAGGATTCTGTAGTTTGCTGAACTTCCCCAGAAACTGCAGAACCTTCTGAAATGTGACTCAGTCTGGGCAAAACCGTAATTCATTTGGTGCGAATGGGTCCTGGACAGCCTTCCATCAGGTGGAATGAAAGGCCTCTTTCAGCCCTGTTTCAGCGTCTGTGTGCCCACGGGCTGGCATCTGGCCGTTCTCCTTGTTGACTCCATCTGTCTTTGATCAAGGCTTGCTCTACCCGCACTTCTGCCCTTCCTACCTCGGCCGGGCCCCACCGCTCCCTAGCTTCTCCCTGTCTTGATATAGTCGGCAGATACAGGAGGAAAACCATTTCCATTTTTAATAGTTTATATTCCTCGCAACTCTCTTGGCTGAAGGTCAACACGAATTGCCAAAGTCCGAAGCTTTTCACAGGCTGAGTGGTGCTAGTCTCTGGGATTTAATCACAGAAAACAGTTTGGCTACTCTTCTGTGACTTGCCTTCTTTCAGATCTCAGAGGAAGTTTAGGGTTTTATCTCGGGAATCTATGGGCACAGCCTCGTCTCAGTCAGACGCCAGACAGGAACACAGCCTGAGATCCGGGTGTAAGACAGGCGTGTGAAAAGCCGGCTCTCTGAGTCAGCAAACCTGGGTCCAGGGCCAACAGCTGTGCCTGGTCCCAAGCAGATACACCCTGGATGTCTCTGAACATGTGTGAGTGGAGATTTAGGAATAAAGTTAGAGTGCTTCTGGCCCGCGGAGTGCTTCTGGCCCGCGGAGTGCTTCTGCTTTATTTGGAGTCCTTTCTCTTGCCTTTGCTGCCTTTCTCCAAAACCCTGTTCACTGGGTTTCAAGGCCTCTTCAGCTCTTACAGACCCCCTGGACAGCAAATCTTCATTTACTTCAGTCCTGTGATTCCCCTCTGCCTTCAGGACTTTATCTTTGATCCTCTGCTCAGGGGTGGTGGCTCCAGCCCACAGCTCCTTCAATTAGTACTGAGGCTCGGTTCCAAGCCGTTCCAGAATCACACCTGGCACTGGCTGAGGACAGCACAACTGTCTCCACAGACAAGCGCTGTCAGGGCCTGGCAAGCAGCCCCCAGATCCGGGAGGCATCTCCAGCCCCAGCTGTCCCAGTCCTCACAGCCCAAGTTGTCCTGCCCAAGGGAAACATCACCTGAGGGAGAGGCCTGGGTTTCACCTGTACTTCTCAGGGGCTTTTTAGCCTGTTCTCCCTGATGCTTCATCCAGGGTCTGCCTTGTTCAATTGTTTCAGCTTTTCTATCCTCCAAGACCCTGTTTCCTAGACCACAGGGGTATTTGTTATCTGGTTTACGGAGTAGGGAGGCTGTCATTTCAAATCACAGTGCTTGCTCAGGTTGTAGCTGACCCACTACTTAAAAGGTAACTCTCCTAAGATGATTGCAAAGATCTATCATGAAAGATTTTAAATACAAAGGCTTATTTATTTATTTATTTATTTATTTGGTTTAACGAGATATAGGGTCTTGCTATATAGACCAGGTTAGGCTCAAACTGACAATCCACCTGCTTTCTAAGTTTTGGGGCTACAGAAATGCATCACCATACTTGGCTTAAACATGCTTTCCATATGCACGATAGCAAGCAACATTTCTGAAGGCAAGAGGCACACTGTCTTTAATGTTACGTTGGGAAAACAGTGACACTACCTCTGCCGGGACAGCCTGCAGACTGTTTGCAGAGGTGCTTCGAGAAGTCAGTTCATACTGAGTAGAATAGAGTGAGCGGCATGAATGTCGGAGCTAACAGTGTGAACGGCGCAACAACCTATGGGCCAATGTTGGCAAACAAATAGCAAAGAGATAACAAAAGACCGGATGCCACAGAATGTAAGAGAGGACAAAAATCTGACGCCTCTGCCTGCCCAGCACACACATGAGAATACCCTGGCTCAAGTAGGTTACTCTGATAAACACCATCACCCATTCCACAGTAGCAGAAGGAAGGGGAAAGGCCAAGGCTTACCTGCCAGTCTTTGGAAAAAGAGGAGGGACAACATCCCTGGTGCTAGTGTTTGAAATGATCTTAATTTGAAAGACCTTTAGACAAAGGTCTTTCATGTATCACATTGTATACATGAATGTGTTTCTTCTAAAGGAACTATTCCGAGAAACCCTTTGTCTGCCCTCACACAGTGGAAATTTGCTTCCTTCTTTTCATCCAGGCTTTCTCTGAGGATAAGGTATTCCCTGCTATTTTCAGGACACAGCCCATTCCTAATGTGCATCCCAACAAGTCTCCAGGGTGCACTTGCCCCAAAGGCTACAGATTCAAGATGTGAACGTTGACAGCCCCAGGAAGGCATCTCTGTGCACCTATTGCCCAATGTCTCTGCCTGGGTTCTGGAGAAACCCTATGGCCTTGAGTGCAGACCACTGAGACAGCATGCAGGATCATGTTTGTTCTGCAGTCTATGGCCCAGCTCTGGCGACAAACCATAGATGGTCATGATAGCCGAGTCAGAAAGGGTGCATGTGACTGGGACTGCCTTAGTGATCCTTTTTCACCACACACTATCTTCCTCTATTTCTGTGAAGAGGGCTCTTGTTCTTCAACTTCACGCCTTGAATATCACATTTTGAGTATCTCCTGGCAAACTAAAAAGCCCTCTATGAACATCTTATCAAGTTCTGCCCTGTCCCTTTTGTGTCTTGAATCTTTATTGTGCCAAATGTGCCAATGCACAAGAGGCTCTTGCAGGTTCTGATCCAAGGCAGCAGCCCCCCCCCCCCAATACACCTCCTTTCAGAAATGACCCAGCACTGTACCCAGTGCACCCCATGTATGAATCCAGTAAGGGTCACACACGAAGACAAAGGAGACTAAAAGCACTCGACACAGCTAGAGACGAGTAATAGAAATGACCAAGGCTCTTCAGGTACTCCCCCAAGGACTTGTTGTCTGGAGAGAGCTTCTCCTGCAAAGAGATTTCAGCCCCCTTTTCAGTGGGGAAGCCCGTGGTTACCCCTTCCTCTTTATATAAGCCGACTACCCACATGTGACAGAGGCTGGGTCCAGTGAATTTGGAAGGATAAATAAAAACCTTAGCTTTTATGATGAGGTAAATGTAGAGTAACAGAAAACAGAGCTGAGAAAAATAGCATGCAATTTGTGCTGAAATATTTAATGTACTCTCACAATGAAATGCAGTACTTGGTGACATGCCTATAGCTGTGGCATAGCGAGAAGCAGGCACTGGACGCTGGTGACGGTAGAATGGGGGCTCTCCATCTCACTAATATGTGAACCCCTATTATGAACACACAAAAGGATACATGATTTATTCCCAATTACCTCTTGAATTATATTAATAATTAACAAAACTCTTAAATTTCCCACTCAATTCCTTTCTTTGCTATGATAAATCTGTGCGTGGGGACTTCTCGGTTCCGAGCAGTCATTTTTGCAGAGGTTATGATGACCTGAGAAAGCTATTGCTTCTGCTGCTTCTAATTCCCCTAATTGCCTTGCATTTCTCTGAATGAGAGGATTAAAACCATGCTGTCCAGTATGGTTGGTTCTGATACAGACGTTTTCTTACAACTGCAAAGAAACTGTCTTAATGTGATACTTCCCATAATAGCCCCTTATTTAAAACATTATTCTGGCCCCAAACTCTGGCAGAATTCCACTGCTAGGGTGTAGGCCACATTAGTTAGAGGAACAGGTGAGTGATCTGACTGCCAACCAGATTGCCCTGCCCCCAGATTCTCTTCCCTCAAGACCTGTTCCGCTTCCCAAGCTTCCTACTTCATCTTCCCTGTGGCCAGCCCTTCCCCCAACTCTGGCAGACTTCATTGTCTCAGGTACAGTCCACAGCGGATGGAAGAACAGGTAAATGATCTGCGTGCTAGCCAAACTGCTATAC